GATAAGAGGAGCCACATGGACCGGCCAATCCAATGCATGCAGTAACCGAAAATGTCCAGCGCTTTCCATGCATGCACAAGGGTAAAACAGTCCAAAAAACAACCAGCTGGGCTCTTCTTGGTATCTGGAACGCTACTTATGCGCAGAGAAAAAAGAATCGGAGGGAGTACCTAGTAAAATTGTAAGGTAACAAACATAGAAGATCCTGGATTCTTCATTTAATTCGGGAAAAAAGAGATTCTTGTTCGTAGAACATTGATAGAGAGAAAAAAAAGCGACTATCGGATTTGATCCGTTGACCCTCGCATTACAAATGTGATGCCCTAAGCTCCTACGCACACCACTGCTCGTCTCTCCACCTGGTCACGCCGGTGTCGTCGCTCGCTGCTTGGCCGCTCTGTGCAGCAGCGATCGGCTCCTTGTGCTGTGATGGGCTTGGAGGAGGCTGGAGGATTAGGCAGAGGAAGGCGGTTTCAACTTCGGCGGCGTTGGCATGAGACAATGCCCAACACTGCAATCAATCACAAGCGGGGCACCGGGCACGACACTAAACAGTAGCAAGCAGGTCTCCCCTTGCTCTTCTCTGTTTAGACTTTTTGATACATCATGTTTGAATTTGATGTGTATATATAGTAGTAAAAAAGAGTACCTATGATCTTTTGATGCATTTCCCTGCTTTTGGTAGACTTTTTTTTATCGGTTTTGATTGAATAGAATTGCATTTGTACTTAGAAGCTCTTTATTTCCAGTTTTGATTGAATAGAATTGCATTTGTACTTAGAAGCTCTTTATTTCCAGTTTTGATTGAATAGAATTGCATTTGTACTTATAAGCTCTTTATTTCCCCGTGGCAACACTAAAAAAGACACATCCGTGACATCTTGGCCCGAACGAAATTTTGTTGTCATGCTTATGACACTTCTATGACGATAATTGCGACAAAACCCGGTATCATCATAGATGTCGTGCAAAGGTTATACGCCCACACATTCCCCACGGAGAAGTTCTTCCTTCGATTCGATTACATCTTTGACATGTTTCACATGAAAAAGCTGGATTTTACGTTCGTCTGCCTTTTATGCCTTGTACATGAACTATATCATTAGGCACAAGTAGATAGCTCATATCTGTGTCACTGACCCATACTTTATGCACGAGGGCTTCTTGTCAGTCTACCCAGAGCACCCTGAATACGCGAGGAACTACATCGCCGATTTCATGGTCGGCAATAAGGACACGAAGACGATTCTCCTGCCTTATCATCCCATATAAGTCATCTGTGGATATCCTTTCTTCGATTTCAATTATTCATTTGCACGCGTGGAGGCTAATTTGAGATGTACTTATTCTGCGCAGCGACGGGTGCACCGTCCTCATCATCCTCTACCCCTGATTCTCCCATGCTCTTTACTTGGATTCGTCGAAGAACATGAAGAAAAAGGATTACACCCACATCAAGTCTGTTCTCGACAGTGCTATCTTAAGCTACGGCCAGCGGGATGGAGAGATCACGTTCAAGAAGACAAAGAACTGCGTGCCTTGCTTCGGCCATAAGACCGACTTCTGCTGCATCCAGCAACCGATAGCTAGTCTCAGTGATGGATTCTATGTCCTCCACCACATGCTGGAGTACAGACGGGATCACCAGAACCTTCGCATGTCACCTAGATCCGGCGATGCCGATATTCTGCAATGGGCAAAGAACCTAGGAAATATCCCGGATCATCGACTCCGAGCTGAGTTCTATCACATCCAGCGTGAACTTTCCCAAGTCATCATGAAGGAGGTCGTCGAAAAAACAGCGATGTTCTACGAAGAAGGGAAAATGTCGCGGGAAGACATCGAACACGCATAGCCGCTCAGCGTCTCGACATGAAGCCTTTCACTTCGCTCGGGGACTTCCTCCATGATTTGGAAGGATGGCACGACATGTTGGAGTGATTGACGATACATGACAATGTATCCGTTTAGTCACTACTTTCTCTATGACGAAACTTTGAGTTATGCATGACAAAACTTTGTGATGTAATTAAACCGTCCTTCTCAACTAGCTAAGATCACTCTAGTTAGGGCATTTTGGGTACGATGAACTTTGTTGTTTATGCTTATGATATGTTGCTTCTATTTTTGCTAAAATTTGTCTCTTTCTGTTGCTCAACTATATATGTTAGCATATTATCGACTCATGTGACGATGCAGCTACATAGATCATCGGGCGGCAGCCACAGAGGGTTCGATAGCAGAGCCGAAGCAAAAGATAGTTACTTGAGGTTGACGCTAGCGTGAGAGAGGGATCGGAACCGGCGCCTTAAAAACTACTCCCTCTGTCCCAGAATACAAGAACGTTTTTGACACTATGCTAGTGTTAAAAACGTTCTTATATTTTGGGACGGAGGGAGTATTACATTATCGCGCTCTTGCTCATAGTGATTGCTCTTCTCTTCTGTCTTTGTTTAGATATAGATGATGAAACATGGGTATCTGATGACCATGCAGTTCCTTGTGTATTCTAGACATTTCACTTAACATGTATCGCTATATCGTGATTATGATGACACGACATGATTTGTGTTGGATGATATGATAAGACTATTATGTGTATGATATGATGAGCATATTGCATGTTTTATGATATGATTAGAATACTGTATAAAATCTATAAGAAAACATCGCAAATACGTACCAGAAAAAAAGTGAAAATATAACAGTAGCGCGGTTTTGCAAGAATCAGTAGCACTTTTAAAAGGCTAGCAGTAGCGCTGGCCTAAACGCACTACTGTTAAGTATTAGCTGTAGCGTCTTATCAGTAGCGCGGGTGCCCGCGCTACTGATAGCCCTTTTGCCCGCGCTACTGCTAGCCTTTTCCCTAGTAGTGTACGTTTACTGGGCATAGTACTAAATAAGAGTTTTTTCTTTTGGCGATGGAATTCTAAACAAGAGTTAGGATGACAAGCAATGCAATGTAACGTGATAAGTTTCGAATCGAAGCACATATTGATACCGGGATGCTTTGGTGGTGCTATACGTACGTTTCAATTTTTCCACTCTTATTCCGTTGGTATAAGATTTCTACTATTTGCTTGTCTTTTGGGCTGTATCTTTTTTTCCTTTCAACGTCGGGATAGTTCTGATTTTCCAGTGTTGGCCTGTTGGGCTAAAAAGGGCCCATATCGATGTACTCCTCTCTGCAGGCCCATGATTTGAAGTGACTTCTGTGGATGTATATGCATGCAGGAAGTTTTATAGTACCACATCGCCTGAGCAAAGCAAACCGAAGCTGTTTATATTCTGATTCCCAGATTGTGTGGTCACCACGTGACACTCGTGGTAAGCAATCCAAACTTGATGAAAACAAATTAGGCTTGTTTGAATTGTGAATGTTGCAGTCATCTGCTTGCAACATCACATACCAGCACTCCGACATGGTGTGATCGCATTTTTATCGCATTTTTTGTACGCCGCCGCTCGTCTCTCCATGCCCAATTAATTTCATTGTATTTTCATTATAGTAGAATATACATTAAAAACTGAATTAAACTTACAGGTAAAACGGAGTACAATCAACTAAAGTACCACAAAAAAAAGTACCAGAAAAAAAATGGAATTCCATCAAAATTTGTATTTTTGTATATATATATTATTTTATTTTTTATCTAGCAAAACTGTAAGGTAATAAACATAAAAACATCCTGGATTCTCTATTTATATAATTCCCCCAAGAAAGATATTCTTGTTCGTAGAACATCGATATAGAAAAAAATCGACTACCGGATTTCATCCGGTGACCCTTGCATTATAAATGCAATGCTCTAACCTCCTACGTACAGCACTGCTCGTCTCTCCACCTAGTCACGCCAGTGTCGTCGCTGGCTGCCTCGATGCTAGGCTGCTCTGTGCAGCAGCGATCGGCTTCGTGTGCTGTGATGGACTCGGAGGAGGCTTAGCCAGAGTATCAACGGTTTCAAGTTTCAACTTCGGCGGCGTTGGCATGAGACAATGCCTGCACCGCAATCAATCACAAGGGGCACAACACTAAACA